GAGGGTGGTGGGGGGGAACCGTGAACAATGCGATTTATTCTTTCTATCGATCGAGCTTCCAAGTATCGCCGAACGGTCGGACGTGCCCGAGGAAATTCCGATCGATCGGTCGCAAGTCTGGAGGAGGAGGAGGCGAAGAGGGCCGCGTCATCTGTCGAAACAGCTGAAACCATCCGGTAGGTAGCGGTTATCCCATAAAGTAGCTCGTAAGTTTATTACGATCGTTATTAGGCCGATGCATAATATTGTTGGCATTTATAGCGGCGATACCGACGATATCCGAACCCGATATTGCCGGGAGAAAAATGTATTCGTTACTCCGGATCCTCCGCGAGCGATGGAATTGCCCCGGAGGCAGGAAAGTCGACGGCGGAGCGACTTCTCCCGACTTTTCTAACGAATTCCCTCGAACAATTGCGATAGTTTCGAAAGTTTATTCGGCTGTATAAAGCACGTGATACAGGAGTAGTTGGGAGGCAGGGCAGGAGAGTCCTTGGTGTGTGGAGCTACCCCTTGCGGAGGAGGATATTCGGCGACATATGCGTACGTGCGCGAAAGCAATATGCGGCAGAGAAGAGCGGAGAGGAGAGGAGAGGAGGGAAGGCGAAACGGAGGGCACGTCGAAGAGAGCAAGAGGGCGGCCTCTGAAGCGGGATAGTCCGGCCACAGCTTGCGGGGATGCGAGCCTCCGAGCGCACCCCACGAATGTTAACGCGCCGCATTAACTTCGTATTGGTTAGAAACGCGAGCTCCAGCAATAATTCTGATAACGCAGCATGTTGTCGCGTTGCTTGGCATACCAAACGTTCGCCCGCTCGCTCGCTCGCCCGCCCGCCTTCCACTTTTCCCTCTTCTGCTCTTTCTCCTCTCCTTTCCTTTCTTTATACCTACCTTTATACCGTTTCCCTCCCCTTTCCCTTCCGGCGTCCCGAGGACATTGATCGTCGACGAGATCGCATTGTAACCGTAAATAGTCGCGGTTCGATACGCGTCAAAGTTTCATGCGGCTTTTTACCGAACCGCGCGCGGTAACTTTCTAGGACGAGAAGCACTCGGCGGTGGTCGTCGTTCGACTCCCGTAACGCACCCTTCTCAGATAAGGGGTTCTTAAACAAGCCATCTTGCATAAAAATTTGCGAGTGTACTTTTCTCGGAAACGAGACGTCGCGTCTCGGAAGGGGACGATTTTCTCGAACGTTACAAGCCTATAAACGTTAGGGGAAACGGTCGCTGATAAATTAGATAGGTATCTACGACCTTTTCTCCATTTTAATCCATCCTCCTCTCGAGCGCAGACGGCGATGAAGCGCGGAAAGTCGAGGCGGAAAAGGAGATGGGATTGGAAGAGCGAGGTTGCGTAGGCTGGCACGTAGACGGTTAGCGTCGTACGTGGAAATCTCGCGGTGTGCCGCGAGTCGCGGAATCGAATCGCGGTCGATGGAACGTCGAACGGGTGGGTGTTGCTCGATAGGAAGGTAAGAAGGTGTGGGTGTGCGGTGGTAAAAAGGTAGCTCGTAGCCAGCCAGGAAATCTATCCCACATCGGCTCCCTTCTCCATCGCCAGGACCTTTGCTCACCGCCCTGTAATCATCGCGAGTCAGTGGCGGCGGCCGCTAATTATGTTTCATAGCACTTCTTACCCCCACTCTAATATCCACTCCCTTAGGGGCAACTCATCATTTATTTACATCGTATTCGTCCCGAGGGATAACGCAACGGCCTCCATGGTGCGCGCGGTTCGTCTTTTCCGTCTTCTTTCCTTCGGTTCCTCGGACGTGTAAAAGGGGAATCCGCGAAGGAACGTCCGGAAAGTTTCGGGATTTGGCAAACCAGCGTCTAATAGGCGTTCGTGCCCCTCGATCGATTCCGGGATTATCCTTCCATTTTCTTCCCTCCTCCTCTTTGTCGTGCTTTTGCGAAAGAACCACTTGCTACAGCCACGCTCGGTATAGCCGGCAAATTGGTGGCACTTCTGCGGTCGAGCGATTAAGTGGTTTCGAGCGATATCCTCGGAGAAAATTGGCGGGGTTTTCGGGCAGATCGAGCTTTAATTAACCTCTGTCTTTCCACGGGCTTTTCCTCTGACGACCCTCGTCAGTCGTCGTCTCGGTAGCAGCCGGTGGGTAGGTAGGTAGGTTCGCGTCGTGAATTAACCGACCAAATAAGTTGTTCGAGTAGCACCGATAGATGGAATTCCGTGACGAGTCGTATCGGGACTGGAGAGATCGGCAACGTCATCGATCGGATTCGAGAATAAGTGCCGCGTAACCGCGCGGCGATTTGTCCGGATCAGCGTCAGACTAAGCAGATTACGAGCTCTCCCCAAACGAACCTCGAAGAGGAACCGTGGCGACCGTCGCGTCTCTCCTACGGGAGGTCTATCGGTGGATAACATAGGCGCGGAGAAGGGATCGGTTCGCTTGCTAATTCCGACGCGAGTTTACAGCCAAGGAGAAAATTACGAGGCAGCTGTAGGTGATTCTTCTTTTCGGGAGAGTCGTCGATAACGCGCTCGCTTATCCACGACTAAATATAGAGACACGGGGCGGTAAAGATACACAGGCAGAGAGAGAGTTAGGTGGGATGAAGGAAAGAAGGAAGGAAGGAAGGAAGGAAGGAAGGAAACGGCTTCTGCTTCGGACGCGATCCTTTGAAGTGGTTTTCCCCAGGACCGCGAGTATTAAACGGATTCACCTGATCGTAACGGGGGCCGTAACCGGCGAGCGCGACACGTTCGTTTGGAAAAAGCCGAAAGGTTCGAAACGACCGGAAGCGATGCCGCAGCGGCTTCTTCTTTGATAGCAAGTCGGCGAGCAGCCTTTAACCGAGCTACCGTCGCCTTTCCTCTCATATTTTTCGGGCACTGACAAAGTCCTTGTAGGTACCTACCTAGGTATTACAGAGGTAATTAGAAAGGGCCGCACCGAGAGGACGCGAGTTGCGTTCGATCGACCGCTCGATCGAGATAACGCGGCACGAATTTTAAGAATTATAATATTTATCTTTGCCGGATAATAACGGAATTGAATCGCGTGAAATTTCTAACTCGTAACGATATCGCGGCCCGTTTTTTCTACACGTTAAACCGTATAATTACAATAATCCGGCGATGATATCGCGCGCGATGCACGTATCGCTACGTACGTATTTAGCGCGCAAGGCAATTTCCTGCTTTATTATAATAATATCCGGAGCAATCTGCTCTTCCTTCCCACCTCCCGGAGCGTAGGCATCGTCGTTTCGAGGAGCTTCTTATTTTCGAACTCGCCGCGTCTCCGCTAACTCGTGCCTCCCGCCTCCCACCGATTTCCCACCGGCTGGGAATCGTATATATGTACATATAGGAATGGAATATCGACAGTGATCAGAGATCGAGTCAACCACCACCCACCGTTACCTACCTACCGGTCGGCCGGGTTTAAAGCTCCGCCACTAAAACGATAAATTGCGCGACTCGAGAGAGAGAGAGAGAGAGAGAGAGGGTAGAGGAGGAACGAAGAGAGGAAAACGGTGGTCCCTGTCAGCAATTGCCCCCTCTCGTAAGAAAAAATGGCAGCTGCCGTGGCTAGATGCCGCGTACCGAACCATAATGCTGTACCACCCTCCTCGCTTACTCGTCCGCGCGGCTCAGTGCTTTCGAAAGCCGAGGAGAAACGGGAGGCCGACCGTGCCGAAAGAAACAACCTGGACGGGAGTGAAAGAGGAGGATCGTTCCGACGTTCGACGAGGAGAAAGAATCGGCCAAAGTAAGAGAGGAACAACGGAGAACCGCAAAAGAGGGGGAGGCACGTACGCGGTCCTCGACGACCACCACCATCTCT